ATAGCCCTACCCAGGAGAACACAGGTAACGAAGAGCAGAAATTAATAAAGCAGAAAACAGAGGTGGTACGAGAGAAACGACAGAAGCTGGCTCCCTGGGAAACAGCGAACGGCCGAGCTGCAGCCCACGCGCCCTGGACGACACACCGCAGCGAAGACAAGTGCGCCGCGGTGACCGCAAGGCAGCCCGCGAAAGTCAGAGACTCACTGCGGAAAAAGACGCCATTTTTGTAAAGCTCAAGAATATGTAAAACCAAAATATATCGTTTAGAGCCCATGGATATTGGGCAAACTTTTTTTTAAAGCACAAGAATCAGCACAACAGTAACCACAACAGTAACCACAACAGTAACCACAACAGTAACCACAACAGTAACCCCGGGGTGAGGGGGCATCTGGGGAGAGCTCACAGGAGCTTCAAAATTATGGTTACTATTCTGGTCTACAAACTATATGGTGACTTCGCATTTTCAAATAGTTTCATAATTACAAAGATGCTACATATGCTTTTTTACAAATATAAAACAGTAAATAATAACTTTTTAAAAATTGATTTGAGAAAGGGAGAGAAATATTGAGTGGTTGCCTCTCATATGCACCCCCACCAGTAATCAAACCTGCAACCTGGGTATGTGCCCTGACCAGGAATTGAACCTGCAACCTTTTGGTGTACAGGATGATGCTCCAACTAACTGGGCTACCTGGCCAGGGCAATAATAACTCTTTAAAACCGTAAGCAAATCCTGCTCAGTAAAATGTCTCAGATGAACCCTGTATTGTCTCCATGTTCCCAGCTTGGAACCTGGAGCAGGTCCCCTTATTTTCAGAGCCTGTGGCTTCATGTTGAACCTGGCACTTCCCCATCCTTCTTTTTCAACTCCTGGATTTCACACAAAAGCTCTGATTCAGCATATTCTTAGATGCTTCAGAATCTTTTAAAAACTTTTTATTTTATTTTTGATTTTTAGAGAGAGGGAGAAAGAGGAGAGAAACATCAGTGTGAGTGAGAAACATCAATTGGCTGCCTTCTTTACAAGCCCCAACTGGAGACCTAACCCGCAACTCAGGCGTGTGCCCCTGACCTGGAACTGAACTGGCGATTCTGCTTTGTGGGATGATGCCCAACCAACTGAGCCACACTGGTCAGGGCATACATCGTTACTATTAATTTCTTTGGGAAGCCATGTTGAGAAAAAAGGGAGAAGAAAGGAAATAGAAACCAAGGGGGTCTTCTTTCAATGAGAAAAAAAGAAAAACTCCAGAGATTTTGAAATGTCCTCCAAGAGACTGTCACGGCTCTAGTCTACAAATCTACTTTCATGACCAACTATGCCTCCCCAGTAGCACCAGAAGGGTGAGTGTGAAGTCAAGCAGCCCAAGCAGTGAACTACACTGGACACCTGCCACCTAGGGTCTATCCTGAATCTGGGTCCATTTTTTAACAGCTCTTTGGCTACATTTTAGGAATTAACATCTCCTCCACTGAATACAGTTTTAGTGAGCAGGAAGTTCTACCTTTCACCATGGTATCTGGGCTTGGACAGGGCCTTCTGGTTCAGAACCAAAACAGCTGGGAACCAACACAGTGGGCCAGGGGCCTACGCTGTGCCATTTGAGAAAATTCTCCTTGGCTGCTGACTTGAGCGAAGACGGTTCTTCACAGCCACAGTGAGTCTTTTTCAGGAGCCTGCAAACCGCCTCTGGTTCCTACCCACCGATTCTGTGAGCCTGATCTTCCAGTTTCCTGTTGATCTTGTAGGCCCCTAGTATCTTTCCAAAACGTACTTCCTTTCTCCTAAATTTGTTTTCTTAAACAAATTTCATTCATTTTCTTAAAAGATGAGAAAAATAGATGTTCATAGCAGACGAACAATTCAATAACAGAAATACAATACACTAAAAGTTGAAAGTTCTCTCCCTGTGAATACCATTGGTACCAGTTTGATAACATACCCATTTTCTAGCATTGTGTGTGTGTGTGTGTGTGTGTGTGTGTGTGTGTGTGTGTGTGTGTGTGTGTGGAGAGAGAGGGAGAGAGATGGACTAGACCTCTAGATAATATGGGGTTATGGGGAATGGAAGGGATTTTTACATAAAAGGGGTCATAACAAATATAGTCTTATATAAATTATTTTTTAACCCAATGATATAAACATCTTTCTTTTTCAGTACATAAGAGATCTGTCATTCCTTTAAATAGATGCATAGTATTCTACAGTATGAACTCCATAATTTAATCTTTCCTTGTCAGACATCAACACTGTCTCCAATTTTTTAGTATTATAAATAACGATACAAGGGGGTTGAGGGGAGGGAGGGGAGGGTAAAGGGGGCATAAATGGTGATGGAAGGAGACTTGACCTGAGGTGGTGAACACACAATACAATATACAGACGATATACTATGGAACTGCACACCTGAAACCTATACATAATTTTACTAATCGGTATCACCCAAATAAATTCAATAAAAAATATATTAACTTTGCGAATAATTTAACTAGCTGCTTTATTACTGTAAAATGAAGTAGTTAGTAAATCCTTAGGACAGGATTTCAAAAAATAAATTTATCCAAGTTTTTAGTAGAAAATGAGAGAAGTAATGATGCAATAAACACCCTTATACTTACATAGCTTTGCACACTGTGCAAATATTTATGTAGGTGGGGGGTTGCCTAGAAAACATTTCTGGAACAGAGGATATATACATTTTTTCAAGATTTTATTTATTTTTATTTTTAGAAAGAGAGGAAGGAAAGGAGAAAGAGGGGAGAAACATCAATGTGTGGTTGCCTCTCACATGCCCCCTACCCTACTGGGGACCTGGCCCGAAACCTAGGCATGTGCTGTGACTGGGAATCCAACCGGCAACACTTTGTTTCACAGGCCAGCACTCAATCCACTGAGGCCCATCAGCCACGGCAGGATATATACCTTTAAGATGTTTATGTGAGGTACTGCCAGATTACCTTTTTTCTGGCTACGCCCACTTCCTAAAAACATCTGGAAGAAATGCTCATCACCCACACTTATAAACAGGTCTTTAATATTCCTTTTCAGGAATTTGATAGATGCAAGCATCTTTTTGTCTTTCATATGCATTTCCCCTGATTACTAAGTGAGGATAAATATATTTTTCAAATATGTATTAGCCAATTTATTTAAAAAGTTTTTTGTTGGTTTCTTCATGTATTAGGAATATGAACCTTTTATCAGTTAAATATTGTAATTATTCCCTCCAAATAGTTCTTTCTTAATTTTGCTTTTGGTGTCTTTGGATGTATATTTGTTCTTTATCATTTCCATCACTTCTTTATGGCTTCTGGGTTCCTGATCACACCCAAAAAAGTTCTCCTTTCCCCCAAACTACAAATGAACATACTTACATGCATTTCCCCCTGGAGGTAGAATAGCACAGCACAGTGGTTAGTTGTAGAAGGAAATGTTCTGGAGCTAGACTTCTTTGGTTCAAATCCCAGCTCTGGCACTTATCAGTTATGTGACCTTGGTACTTAACTTTCTCATCAGTAAAATGGGTTTCTAGTGAAGGTTAAGTTAATATATGTAAAGCATTTAGAGTAGTGCCTAGTATACAACAAATACTCAATGTATATGCCATTATCTAGTTTCTTTATATTTCTTTTTTATATTTAGATCTTTAGTATACTTTAACATTTTTTTCATAATTTGAGGCTATTTTTTTCCTCAGGTGAATAGCCAGTTTTATAAAGTAGTCTGTTTTTCCACTAATTTGAAATTCCATCTTTAGAATATACTAAGGAACAGGTCATCCCTAAGAGGGCCTCAGAGACCCACACCAGTTCATGGCCACCTGTAACTGTACTTCAAAGGCCACTCCATGAACACTTTGTGGACACCTGGGGGTCCTACTGAAGGTAAAAATTTCTAAGTTAAATTTAACAATGTCACATTTACAGTTTAAATTTAAAGGCCACATTGGTGGCCTCTCCCCTCTGAACGCCACCAATCACAGGCCCAGGAAGGCCACACCAGTTGCCCTACTCAAGGGACAAGCCTGCTGAGGGAGGTGTTTTGGAAAAGCATGCCCAATCTAAAAATGTATACACTACAAGCTATTTTCTCCAAAGTAAGAATGGTTAAAGAAAAAGAGAACCGTACTGAAATTTACACCAGAATATATGATATGTGCATGTAAGATGGGAGATATTTGGCCATGCAGGGTGGCTGGAATTAGTGGCGAGTTTCACAAGAGTCAGAGGCTCATCTGCATTAAATGACTTTTGTGTAGGGGTAGGCAGAGAACCACTGAGATACTTTAGTCTTTCCTTTAAGACTTAATTAAAAACAACCAACTGTTTAAGGCATGCTGCCATCTCCTGGCTAAACCTCTGTTGCAGCCAAATCACAAGCAGTTACAGCAAAAAGTGACACAGCCTTGCAAGCATGATATGGTAACCCAAAACATAATAAAACATGCACCCTGGGGAAAAGGTGGCAAGCTGCCTGCTCACATTCCCCGGTTACTACAGACAGTGCCACTCTGCTGGTGGTGGCCTCTGACGGTGCCGGCTAGGCACTGTCTAACAAGCACATCTGAAGCGGGGGTGAGCCTAAACAGAAAATTCAAATATTCCAAACACGGATAGGCTGGTATATAGATTCCATCCCCAGATGCTCTCACAATGTAATAAAGAATAGCTGGGCTCATGCACGAGCTCACAATGCTGCAAGCTTGTGCTGAAAAGAAGCTGAAGAAAAGTATAAACACCAAAAAGTCTCTGAAGAACAAACTGCTGTCACCACACCTTGCTCCCCTCTTCTCCACTGACCCACCTTCCGTTCCCTTGCCCTACTTCCTGATAGCAGTAACGTCACCTGGAAACCAAGAGCGATCTATGGGGGAGTGGCATATTCCATCAATCTCTAAGGCAAACTGAAAGACTGCAGAGGTCCCAGTAGAAATGGAATAGAATCAGGAGTGTCCTGTTAACACAGGGGAAACAAAAGCCAAACACGTAAATCTAAAATGTTAATGTGATCTTTATTATACAGTACATCTGGTATTTGTGCATGCCACAACTATACAGAATACTCTATAAAACCAGACCCAACCCTTCAAAATTACACTAAGTGAAGACTTGTCCCTTAATTGCGTCTCTTAAAAATACACACAGTTAACAGGGTCCTGCTGTAACAATGTGGAAATGTAACAACATGGAAAGAGACGGTAGCACAAGAAAGGAGAGTGTAAGGACTAAAGTTTTTGCCAAAGTAATTTCTCTAGTTATTGCACTTTTATTCTACACCCTTAGTATATAACATTTTTATTCAACACTGTAATAAACATTAGTGATTTAAAACAAACAAAAGTATTACATAAAGACAAGAGACAACAAGCTGTCCAGACCATTTTTCCTTTCAACCCTCTGGGGAAGGCCTACCCGGTGCCAGGTGTTCACAGTCTCTGCGATCCTCCCGGTTGGACTGGATGTTAACAGAGCAGGTGAAGTGAAAAACGAAACCCAGGTTAAGAACAGTAGTGCTGTATCTGAAACCCCCAAGGGAGTTTACAATACAAGTTTCTCAAGGTCACTCCCTCCTTACCTATTAACATCCACACTAGCCCTAACTACCCCCCACCTCCACATTTAGGAAGATAAACCCTCTTTCTTTTTCTTTTAAAGAGAAAATGGGTTATTTGATCCAGCAAATCCCAAAATCAAGCTTTGAAATCCGAAAGAAAACAACTCTTCTTTTGGCAATAAACTTCTGGAGGGCTGTTTAGCCGGCTCGATGCGCCGTGGAGTCTGGAGGTTCCCTGATTGGGCGGATGGAACACCGGGCAAGGCCAGAGGGAGTCTCTCTTCCCCCGAGTGCGCCTGTAACCACCAACCCCCCTGGGCTTGTCAGTGCTGAATAAAAACAAAGGTAAAGTGTCGTTCAGTGCAGTTACCATGTTGCAGCCCAAACAGCTTCTCCCGTAATGACAAAAAAACTTTTCCAATACCTTTGGCAGCTCACGCAATGATGCAAAAAAATAAAATCAAAATGTATTGGAGAGCTGACAGGTACTAGTCGAGAGTTCTACTATTCCCCTATTTCTATATGTGGTAGTAATGTATCCTTTCCTTCACTGGTTCCTTGACTTTTAGTGTTAAAAATTAGGAGAAGCTGCCGCCTAGGCTCTGTCCCCCTGAAAGTGATGGAGTCACAAGTGACTCTCTTTGGTCTGGGAAGAACCGGCACAGCCTTCCTTTCCAGAGAAGTGACAGGCCTGCTCAACCAATGAGCCTTTCTCCACAAGGGGGTCCAGGAACCAGGGTGTGCCTGTGGAAACCTCACCCAAACGAGCATTCCCCCACCCACGACTGACCGTGCTGCTGGCACCCTAGGCACAGGGTCAGCCACTCCTGGCTCCAGACTCCACCACCTTCCAACTGTACTGCAGGGAGGCCCCCTACTCAGTTCTGAAGCAACATAAGTGATCAGACTTCAAGTGCATTACAAATGTCCAGGCGATCATTTTGGGGCAGAAGTAAACTGCCCTTATTTAACTGACTAGAAGGGTAGAGCCCACTGTAATCCTCTCATCCATCCTTCTTCCTTGCCAAGCCATGATCTCACCTCAACACTGGGAGCACACACCACCAAAGCAAGGTGGTAAAATCTTTAGGCTTTGGTCTTGCTGAGCCCTTGATAGTCCAAGTGCCACCAAACTTCTTTAATAACCTAGTATCTTCCCAAGTAATATACAATACAGTACATTTCATGGCATTACATCACTTGAATAATAATGGGTGCCAAAGGAACAAAGAGCCCCAAATTTGCTGACGGTATGTAAAACAAAAGCGACGTACACACGTGGTATGTATCCTGCACGCAGCCCGCCGAGCGCAGCCGGCCGAGTGCTTCAGTAACGCGTCCCGTGCTTGCCCGTGGGCTTTGGCTGGCCGAAGACTTTTTTTTTTAAGTGAATTGTAGCAGAACTACTCATCATCAGCCTCTCCCTTCTCACTCAGGCAAAAAATGTGGGAATCTGCTAGAAAACTGATGTCTGAGAGCAGACTAAGCCACAGGGGATAAACCAAAACGGGACTCTGGGTGGAGAAAAACCTAGCCTCCCGTGTGTGAATGGGAATGTGACACTTCTGAAGGATGTTAGGGATGTGGCCTCCAAAAGGGGAGCACCAACTCCTGATTACAGTCGGAGTTACACTGACAGTCTGGACAAGGGAACTATATAAAAGTGTTCTTGAAATTTCATATAGAACAAGACTTGCACTGATTTTTCATCAGGTAGAGACTACTCGCCTCTACTTCGTTAACTTGAAACGTGGCTTCCTGGAAGGCCCATGATAGTTCCCAGAAGGGCAACAAGTTCATGCTGACAAGAATAGAGTGACTTGAAGTAAAGCTAAGTGTAAGTGTTAAAAATTCCAAGAGATATACTGAACATTCCACCAAAACAAGGCTGGAGCTTACAGAACCCAAAAACACCGGGTCAGTAAACTTAACCACTGCAAGTAAGAAGTTTTTCAGCAGTACATGGAATTTCGGAAGGGCTGCATGTTCTCGGGGGCTACTACACTCACAAATATCAGGATCAGAGCCCAGGGCAGTCAGGTTAAAAACTGAACTTTGAAAGGTATATGGAAAATTTTTTGTAGACTCCATTTACACCCTGTTAATGTTTAAGAGATGGTTATTCTATCACTAACAACCCTAGAAAATTCCAGCAGCAAATCTGACCATTGTCATATGTGTCTACTCTGGGACTTGTTCCACTCACTGTTTGGGACTAGGCACAGGGCACAGGCCACGGTGCTCGGGCGTTGGGCAGATGGAGGAGGCTACTCACCCCCACTGTCCATGGCTTCACCTGTGTGATTTTCTAAATCTAATGGACTGTTTTGGTTGAGGGAGGCTTAAAGTCAAGGTCAAAGATGCACCAGTGTTTAAATCGTTCCCCTTCCTTGGACTGGCATAAGAATTTCTCTTCTTACGTACACTTCATGACAAATCTCCAGAAGACCACCACCTGCCTTCCCAGTGCAAGGGACAGGACCCTCCAGACACTAACACACAGGGACGCAGGGCACACACAGAGCTACAGAGTGCTCTTCTCTTCCATCTGGCTCTTTTCATCTACGCTGCATTTAAAATAAGGTAAAAAGAAGGGACAGGTGACAGAAGAAACCTCGGTTAGAAAGCTCACTGATCAAGTTTAAAAACATCAGTGTGTTAGATTCAAACACTAAAAAACAGTGATTTTTTTTTAAGTTTTATAAAACCACTGGCACCCTTGTAGTGGGTTTGTTGAGGCCCGTGGCCCCAGACCACTGTCCAATTCTCAGTCTAACCAGATACCTCACACTGGGTCAATTGTACTCACTCACCCCTAAGGGCCATGTTAACTGGAGCTTCCCCACTGTGAGACCAAAGAGAGAAAAAAAAAAGTGAAGATGCAGGGGCAGAAGAAATTCTGTTCTAGGAGTAGCAGTAACTCAAAATCCAACAGCACACACATACACACACACGTTTTTTTCTTTCTGTGGCCTCTTGGTGATGAACTGTGAAACCCTTCCCCAGAAGCCAGGGCTATGTGCTCCTATAAATGTAAACACACTGGCACTGTAAGGTACAGGTAGCTGTGTTTCTAGCTTTATCACTGGGGCCTCTGGCTGTTGCAACCTGAGATCTCTGGGTGCAGATAGCAGGAAAGAGTAATCCACAAGTTATTTTTTTGCTCCTATGTTTTCACAATTCCAGAACTAAGCTTAAATTTTCTAAGGGTTCTGACAACTGGATAGATCCAAACTATTCTGAGCTAGAGTCGAAACTATGAAAATTAGTTTTTAAGACTATTGCAACTGCAGTGTTCCCCTTGTCTTAGAAACATACAGTGAACAGACAATGGTAACATTTACCTCCTTTTCAGTTCTGAGGCCTGAACATGGCCTTCTCCAGCCTTGTGCCCATGTCCAAGACAATCTTTTGCTGAAGAAACAGCTTGGGGTGTCAGTGAACTGCTGAACATGCCCAGCTGCCCGACAGCACTATCCGGGAGTTATCTCTGCCTGGGGGGCCTCAAGCTGCCCGGCAAGCACCAATTGCCCCGGAGCGCTCTGTGATGAACAACTGTCAAATTCTTCCCATGGCCAAAAGGTGAGGGGAAGGAAAGAAATAGAGAGTGAAAGAGAAAGGTCTTTGCTTTCAAGTAGAATCATCTAGTCCTCTGTTTGGCTGCTCAGAACTTGACTTGCATAGCCTGTCCATAATGCCCTGAAGCATGGGCTGGACGATACCCAAGAGAGGTCTCTGGGAGGGGTCGCCATCCCAACAGGCTTCCATCAGCTGCCAGCACTCCTCATCAAACACAGGAAGACGTTCTGGGCGGGCCCCTAGAGAAAGGAATGCGGGAATAGACCGAGAGTCAGTGCAAGGGCCACCAGGATGACCAACGGGCATGATGAGCTCTCGGACTAATGACCCAGTTGGGGCTCAGAATACTGAAGAATACAGTAATTGTCAGCTCCAACTGCAAAAATCTAGACCAGAACCAAAAAGTAACAGTGATGATTAACTGCGACACGGTTGAAGAACTGGAAATCTTAAAGAAAAAAGCTTTTATGAGACCGTTCAGCACAATGCTGCTGGAATCAAGGGTTTGAAGGGAGGCCCCTGCTGCAGGGTCTGGCCCCAGTGTGCTCTCAATCAAGGAGTTTGGATGAGGTAGGTTTGTGGCTCTTACCTCTCCGTACATTGTTCCAGAGGTGATCTTTGCTGGCACACCTCTCGAATGCCTCAGGGAGCTTGACAGAGCCTGAGCAGATGTACCAGAAAAGAATGCCAAAAGCGTAGACATCTACGGAATTGTCATACTTCCCTACAACAAGAAGGGGTGACATGCAGTGAGCCAGGGAGAGAAATCAATAGCATGACCACTAACATGCGTCTGCAGAAGTCTTTACACATTCTTTTCTAAAGCTTTTAACATACATTATCTCTCACAACGACCCTGTGAGGCAGGACACATTCACAATGCCATTTTATAGTAAAAAGAACTATGGCACTCAAGACCAAAGCTAGATATTTAGAGAGCCAACACTAGAACATGACAAAGGAGAAGAAAAACAGGTCTTTTATTTTAAAGGGACAGTCAAAAAAGATTCATTGTGAAAGGTCATTATTACGAAAATAAAGGTGGAAAGTACAGGTGTGGGGAACCGCTTCGCAGGATGTGGAAATGTAGTGGGGGGCAAGTTGGCACACAGGACCACGCCCACGACGAAGTTCTGTGGGAAATCAGGCCCACATTATACCTAGGCTGCTTTGTGACTTGCTCTTGCTAAAACTCTCTCACCCTGAGTTCAGGCAGCAAGCATTTGCTGCATATCTTTAACTTCCTGAAGTCTGTGCTCATTCTCCCAAGGACTGAAGTGTAACCAGACCTGTTACTCTTATGTTCCCTTGCATTTGCAACATTTTTTCCTTGTTAATCTGTAAGAAGTCATCAGTAACATCCCTTCCATTGCTATCTGTAAAAAGTAATTACCTAGAGCAAACCTAAGTATAATGAATGAAAACCTTCTTTGATGTATGCTATTAGAAAGCCAACAAAAGCCTGTCAAGACAAGGGTCAGCTTGCTCCCCTCTTGACTGAGGGGCCAGGCTGCTCTGAGGTGCTCTCCCCTTGAGAGAGTACCTATGCCATCCCTTTTCCTCCACAGGACTCAATAGTCTGTGTGAATGTCTTGTCTCATCCATAACACTGAGGACACTGCGGGCAGGTATCCACGTCATACAGGTAGTCGGGCAAGTTGAAACCAGAATATAAAGATTTTTCAAGTTAGACAGAAGAGTCAGAATTGAGTGGACAACAGAAGTTATTTATGTTTTAGACCAAGAGGTGACATGAAGAAAAATATTTTAGAAAGATTATTCTGACAGCATTAGAATGAATTGCAGTAGAAACAATAAAAAAATTTAAATATAAAGCAGCTGAGAAAATAATAAGACTTGGGGGAGTAGAAGTTTAACTTAAAAAAAGTAAATGTAGAAGAAAAATGCTGACTGCGCTGCGTTCCCATGTGTGGAGACTGCAGCTCTCTAGCTGACCCCCAGGGCACATGGGGGTCACTCAGTGAAGGGCTGCTACGTGAGGCTAATGAGAGAAATTCAAATACATCACCAATTTAACTCTTACCACTGCTAATGAGTAACCTGTGATTGCCTTTCCATCTTCCCCAACAACCTTACAACCTCTCCTCACATCCACTCGGGTTCAAAACCTTGGGGTCATTGTTTAGTAATCCCTTCTGTTCATCATCCACATCAACTTAAACAAAAAAAGAAACCATTATCCATTATTCTTCTGAATTCTCTCAAATCTGTCACAGTTTTACTTAGCACAACCACCAACCTAATCATGAAGACAGCCACCATTTCCCTACCTTGGTCATTGCCACTCAAGTTACTTCTACCTACTGCTGCTAAGCTAATCTTCCATAAACATTTTTCGTTCCTTACCTGCTCAAAAGCACAATAACACCTTACTTCTTCTACATTAAAAGCCTTCATTCCTCTGTGTGAATTTTAAACCCACTGCATTTTATCTTCACCCTGGTTTGCTATTATTCCCCAAATGGATTTCTTTCCTATCCCGCTTATTTCTATTCTGCAACTTTCCTCATATTTCCCATTCCCCAGCCTCCAGAATTTTCATTCATTCTTTCATGAAAAGACATGGTTAGACACTAGAGAATGAAACACCAAGATTCCATTGCTAGATTCATGACTTCCAGCTCAGTGTTCTAGGGTGGGTTTCTTCAGTAATCGGGCCTTGACTTAACTTTATCTATGATACAGACACAAAAATGAATCACTGTCACCAGAGAATTCTAGTGAAGATTAAATAGAATAAAATATATGAAAAAATACTCTGCCTAGCTCAAAGAATATTCTTTTTTTAAAAAATTACTTATTTATTTTTATTCTTTCTTTCTCTCTCTCTCTCTCTTTCTTTCTTTCTTTGTTTTTTAGAGAGAGAGAGAGAGGAAGGAGAAAGAGCGGGAGAGAAACATTAATGTGTGGTTGCCTCTCATGTGTCCCCTACTGGGGACTTGGCCTGCAACCCAGGCATGTGCCCTGACTGGGAATCAAACTGGTGACCCTTTGGTTCACAGGCCAGCACTCAACCCACTAAGCCACACAGGCCAGAGCTCAAAGAATATTCTTAATAATGAATGCTCTTTCCACCTACCAATTTTTCTAGATTGGACTCAAATTCTACCTAAACTCTTACCTCTACCATAAAACCATCAAACATTTCAACCTTAATTCATCCCTTCTCTGAGCATCAACATCACATTTTGTAGTACTTAATGTAGCACTTTATCACATGTTGTCTGGTATTGCCCTCCTAATTATTTCACATCTATTAATATATCTCTGTCATCTGTAAATTCTTAAATGATAGGGTGATAGGGGACAATGCCTTATATAGGGTAGCAGTTAGTCGATCAATACTTTATGATGAAATGATTGGTTGATTATGAGAGATATCCAAAAGAACAGTTGGTGATGCCCATTCGCACTTTTCTTTCTGACCCCTTTACCTCTACTTCCCCTAGCACTTGTCTTAGTTTCTCCCTGTTCTGCTTTCTCCCTTGCCTGTGCTGGGTCGGCCAGCACTACTGGTGGACATCGCTCTTAGCTCAAGGGGTAGCACTCACTGTTATAGTGTGGAGCCAAGCCCAAACCCACTCCCTGCCCTCCAGCTTACCTGTGAAAAGTTCGGGGGCCATATGGATTGGCGTCCCCACAATGCTGCCTGACATCATGGCCTCTGGCTTGCAGAATCCTAAGTCAGTGATCTTGGCTCGGTTCTGCTTGTCCAGCTGCCAACAAAGCAGGGTTAGAGTCACCCCACATTGGATTCTGCAGATAACACTCAACTCCATTGTAGCCCGGAGCTCACAAGTAGGTGTCTCCCTCACAGCAGTACCGAATCAATCCTGCCTCCAGCCTCCCCATCTCCAGCTTCAGTTGCGTAAGCAACCTGATGGCACAACTGCCATATTTATTTGGTGAAAACCTGTGGGTTCCCAGCACTTAGCATAATGCCTGGCACTATCAGGAGCTTAACAAAACTTGGAAGAATGAGTAAGTGAATAACACTGAGGAAAGTATTTCAGTTCCTGATTATTCTCTGGCCTCCAGACCCCAAGGACAGAAAGCTGCTAAGTAAGGACACTGAGGTCCTCTGTTCAGCTAAAGAAGTTTCTGAAATTCCTTGTAGTTTCCTTTCCTAAAGGTCCAAGAGAATAAAGCTGTGTGTCACTTGGTAATTGGTAAGCCTCATAAATTTCAGCCTATTAATTTTAGAAAGATCCTTCCTGTCCTTCAAATTGCTATATCTTTATATACCATTTAAGTGACACCACAGATAACTCAGTAACACAATATATTTTCAAGAGAAGTATGTCAAAAGATTCTTTGTAATTTACATAACAGGCCTGGTGGGTTTAGGACCCTTTTTTTGGTAAAGATTTTAATTTATTTATTTTTAGACAGACGGGAAGGAAGGGAGAAAGGGAGAGAAACATCAATGTGTGGTTGCCTCTCCTGCACCCCCTACTGAGGACCTGGCCTGAAACCCAGGCATGTGCCCTGACTGGGAATCAAACTGGTGACCATTTGGTTCGCAGGCCAGCACTCAGTCCACTAAGCTATACCACCAGGTTGGTTCATGACCTTTTAATGTTCATTTACCAATCTCATCCCTTATCCAATACTTCTAATCAAACCTTAAGCAATAACAGGACCTGGAATGCTTAAAAATGTCAATGTCACAAAAGCAAAAAAGGCAGACGGACTATTCTAAATTAACGGAGGCTAAACAATCACAATGAAAAAACATAGTATATAGCCCTTGGACTGGATCTGGAATCAGAAACAGACTACATTTGGGATAACTGAACATATGTGGGACAATAAAAAAATGTTAGTACAGACAGTATATTAACCAATAGAATTGTATCAGTGTTAAATTTCTTAGATGTGATGATGGCATTTTAATTGCATGGAAGATGTCCCTTTCTTTCTAGCAGACACAAACTGAATACCTCGGAGACTGCAAGTGCAGTTCCAGAACACTGCTCTAAAGCCAACAAAGTGAGTCACGTGAATTTCTGGGCTGCCCAATGCACATAAAAAGTTACTTTATTCTATACTGTGGTCCACTAAGTGTGCAATAGCATTACATCTTTAAAAAAAACCACCCGAGGTATATACAATAATTAAAAAACACTTTATTGCTAAAAAATGCTAACCACTGGGATGGGAGCTCTGGCCACGGAACGATGGTGGTGGCAGCAAGATGGGCTGGGCAGGGACCGTGATGGTGGCAACAGAGGTGGCAGGGGCAGATGGCTGGTGGTACGTACAGAGGAGGCTATCGTCTTCGGAGGGCTGTAGGTGGAGGCGGAGTTTGGGCCAGCAGCAGGGATGGCAGCAAGGAAGCCTTGGGGGCGCGCTGGGTGCCACAACGGCAGCTTGCCCAAGGGGAACAAGCAGCCCCACCTGTCAGAGTGGTCACTGCCCCAGGGAGACTGGCTGCTATACCTACTGCTCTGAGATCTGGTGGTTCGGGCTGCTCTGGTCTGTCCTCATCCTCTTCAGCCACTGCTGCGCCTTCTGTCGTCGACGACCTTCACTCTGGCTACAGCGGCAGCAGTGTGAGATCAACCTGTCAGTCTACCATGGGGCATGCCACGGGGCTGGCCCCGCTCCTACTAGTTCACTGTTCCACAACTGCTCCCTCATCGCCGTCAACTCATCAGCCTATGAGGATGTGGTCCCCCCCCAGGCACACCTCCTCACACTGCGGTCTAAGGCTGCCCTCTGACCGCGCCCAGGGAGTGTATCTGCTGCTCCTCCACTTCTGGCTGTCCTGCCCACTGCGAGGAAACAAATGTGGAAGGTGCTTCCTTCCATCAGAGTGTCCCTCACTCATCAGGAGGGTGAGCCCTGCCCCCACACTGCCACCTGGCTGGCAACTTAGGTGTCAAGCTCTGACCTTGTCCTGACTCCAGCGAGGGCGAGCCAGTCAAGGAGGTGAGGGCTAGTGCCACCCGGCCAGATCTGGGGACCACTCCTCTTGTACACCGCGCTTAGATCCCCTGCCCCAGGTTTCTTCCGTGGGGCTGGTTCCCAGGGAAGGAGACATCGCATAAGCAGTTCTGGGAGGGTAGATGGGTTACTTGCCCACTAGAAAAAGCCCCGGTTCCAATTCCTTGTGTTCTCGGCCTGTCCCTGCCCTCCTAGCATCTGCCTGAAAGGGCTGGAGTCCTGAGGAGGGGGCCACGTCTGGGGGGCTGTGGCAGCTCTACCCACGATGGCACACATAGGAGCCTCTGACCTCAGGAAAGAGATGTGAACCAAAAGAAAACGCTAGCCATCACGTGAGCCTTCAGTGAGCTGTGATCTTTTTGCTGTTGGAGGGTCCTGCCTCAAAGTTGACAACCGCGCACTGATCAAGGTGGTGGTTGAAGACTGGGTAGCTGTGGCAATGTCTTAAAGAAGACAGGAATGAAGTCTGCAGCATCAGTTCACTTCTTTTTTAAAAAACTGATTTTAGAGAGAAGCAGGAAGAGAGATAGAGAAACACCGATTTGTTCTTCCACTTATTTATGCATTCATTGGTTGAGTCTTGAATGTGCCTTGAGTAGGGGATTAAACCCGCAGCCTTGGCTTATGGGAATGACAGTGTAACCAAGCTTCTCAGCCAGAGCTTCAACGGACTTCCTTTCACTAGATTTTTCTGTAGCATATGATGCTGTTTGATAGCATTTTACCCACAGAACTATTTTCAAACTTGAAGTCAATTTTCTCAAACCCTGCTGCTGCTTTAACATCTAAGTTACGTCATATTCTGAATCCTCTGTTGTCATTTCAACAATCTCCTTTCTTTGTTCATCCATAAGAGGCAACTCCTCACACATTAAAGCTTTATCATGAGATTGTAGCAATCCAGTCAAATCTTTAAACTCCACTTCTAATTCTTCCACTGAAGCTTTGAATCCCTCAAAGTCATCCATTAGAGCTGGAATCTTCTTCAAAACCTCTGTTGATATTTTGACCTCTTTCCATGAATCAAGAATGTTCTAAATGGCATTTATAATAGTGTTATCCTTTCCAGAAGGTTTTCAATTTACTTTGCCCAGATCTGTCAGAAAATCATTATCTTTGGCAACAAAAGATAGTGAAATCTATCTTTTTCACTAAAAATGTATTTCTTAAATAGCAACACTTGAAATTCAAAGTTACTCCTTGTTCCATGGGCTACAGAATGGATGCCGTGTGAGCAGGCATGGGACCATCAATCCTGCTGCACATCTCCACCACAGCACTCGGGGGAGCAGGACTCTGCCGGTGCTCTGGACTAGGCTTTCACTTAAGGGAATGTTGTGGCTGGTTAGCTCTTCTACCCAGACCACTAACACTTCCTCCATATCAGCAATAAGGCTGTTTTGCTTTCTTATCATTTGTGTGTTCACTGGAATAACACTTTTAATTTCCTTCAAGAACTTTCCTTCTCATTCACAACTCGGCTAACTGGCACAAGAGGCCGGAAAGCTGCAGAAGCCGCATCTGACGTGCCTTCCTCACTAAGCTTAATCAGTTCTACCTTTTGATTTAAAGTGAAAGACGGGAGGCTTCTCCTTTCACTTGAACACTTTGAGGCCATTAGAACGTTATTAACTGGACTGATTTCAATATTGTTGTGTATCCGGGAATCAGTGGAGCAGGCAGAACATGTGCAACGCTTACCTTAAGTTTGCCATCTCATATGGGCCAACTTGCCATCTTATGTGGGTGTGGTTTGTGGTGCCCCAAGGCGATTTCAATAGTAACATCACAGATCACCACAGCAAATACGACAATAATGAAAAAGTCTGAGAGTGAGAATGACCAAAATGTGGCACAGAGACGCAAAGTGAGCAAATGCTGTTGGAAAATGGTGTCAACAGACTTGTTCAAGGCAGGGTTGCCACAAACTTCAATCTAAAGAACATAGTATCTGTGCAGTGCATTAAGCAAAGCACAATAAAACAAGGTATGCCTGTATTTAGGAATGACGTGTTACCTGCAATTTACTTCTATATAGTTTAGTGAAAAAGTCTGTGTGTGTAGAGAGAGGCAGAGGACACACATGGAAAAAGTGAGACTGTGAATCTGAGTGAACAGTACATGGGCCTTCATTGTACAGTACCACTATCTTAACTTTTCTATAAGTTAAAAAAAAATTTTCATAGTGTTGGGAGAGAAAAACCTTAAGCAACATAAACTAGGTCTATGATGCAAGTCCTCCCTGAGCTTTAAGTCCAGATACTACCCACCTATTCTGCTGTTAACTCTACCACTTTTCCTTCAGTCTTTTCCTGTGACCAAATGTACATTTAAATGTACCCTAGAAAGACCACTTAACCCAGAGGCAGCATGTTATTTTAGAAAAACAGCTCTTACTCACCAGCACGTTTTTCAGTTTGATATCACGGTGGACAAGTCCCTGGCTGTGCAGGAAGCGGATCCCTTCCACCACGTCGAGTGCCATCTGCAGACGTGTCTCCAGGGTCAGCCCAGCCTTGGGGAAACAGAAGAGCTCACACGTCACCAACAGGACATCGCATCAAATCCAACCTACTACACCAACTAAGAGTTCCTTCTGTGGGGTCTAAAAGACTGACTGCACTAGGGGACACAAGGACAGAACAGTGGATGGAAAACCGGGAAGAGGAAAGCAGTCGAAAAACAAGGGAGGACAAGCTCTCTAGGCCAGATAAAATCCCTGGGAAGCTGCTCGTAAGCCAGCTGGATAATCCCCAAATGTGACTAGGAGAGATGCAATCAAATGACTAAAGACATGAGCTCATTCTAACCCCTAAATCAACTCTGGAATTGCCCTTCAGGCTCAAAAGAATTATTTCTGGGCCCTTCGGGCAGACTCATATCCACTGGTTTATAGACCTAGTTGGGCCCGGCTGGGTTTTGCTTATTCACACACCATACCCACTCGCCTCACTTGTACCAAGCCTCATGCATACTCTAGCCACATGGAGAAGCACCAGACAGTGCTGAGCTCATCTCCTCTGAACGAAGAAGGAAAACTGCTTGGAGAGTCATTGTCTTTATCATATTGATTTCTCATGGCTCCTGCGAACGTGTCTAAGGCTTCCAAATAAACTGGTACAAGAGAGATGTGAGAAGGGCCCTGCCCACATGCCCTGGCGGTAGCTTCCCCCCATTCTACTGAGCTCCAGTGCGACTCCTCTACTTGTTGTTGGTGGTTATTTTAAATTAGGGAAATGCAGCATCCAACCGAGGGTACTTCACTTTCACTCGAATAAAATCTTTTGAGAGCTTCTCATTGTCTATAACAGAATTTGAGTTTTACGGAAACTCTTAACATTTTCAGGCCTCTATAATTTGCTCCCAACATTTCTTGGCATCTTATTCGCCCACCCCCACCCCCAACATTCCCAAAATGAACCAGCTGCTCCAATGGTGACAAGTGCCCTTAATGCCTTCCAATGCTGTTGACATTATACTATTTCCTCCCCTGGTATGGCCTCTTCTTTCCAATGGCCCAGATTTTAGCCATCAATATGTACTCATCTAACTCAAACACCCCATCTTCATGGAATATTTCTGACTATAATTCTCTTAAAAGCTTCTGTCAATTACACTTTTTGACATCCCTCTATGGTCCTTAAGGGCTTTGTGCAAAGTAGTCACATGTAGTAATAAATATATGTATTGACCAAACAACAATAACTGGCTTTATACATTGACAGCCAAAAAAAAGAGAGAGAGAGAGAAAGAACAGCAGAGTTAGAGGAAGCTTTTCTGCACTTCTGAGTAGTCTAGATTTTTCCTACCACCACAGGAGGTATCTTGGATATGAACTGCATCAAAAATAAATTCTGAAAAAAATTTAAGATTTTTTGGAAATAGGGTAATAAAGTTTGATTACTCCAATAATGTCTTCTAAAAGCTAGAAGCTCTGAATGAATAAGAAAGGATGAAAGGCCAGACAGGAAGGTGCTGATCTGGCTGCCAGCTGGATCTCACTCTCTCCCCGCCTGGCCTCACCTTCAGCCCAGTGTAGAGGTCCCGGTGGAGCCGCTCCATAATGAGCAGCACGGCAATGCTGGAGCCACCACCGTAGCTGTAGTCGATGACAGAACCGTGGAGGTCCACCAACCGCTCATGCTTCGGCAGAGACCTGATGAGAAGGAGAGAGGTCTGGGCCACAATGCACGGCAGGCCACCACGTGGGAAGGAATAACCTTGAGACCATGCTTCGTGCAGATCCACAGGTAATGGCCCTCGGTACAGAAAGAGGACAAAGAGAATGGGTTCTCAAACAAGAACAAAGCATATGGAATCTAAAAATTGATAGGCATTTAGAACTAAGGAAGAAAATCAAATGAAAGGATGAGTGAGAATCTGGGATGCTGAGGAACGGCAGGCAAAGAGAGTAAAGGCCTTGAAGAGAACAGCTCTGGGCCAGACACAGAAATATTGGGTCTACAACATTCTGAGGCCTAGGTGTGGAAGGACAAGGCGTGCTGTAGCTCTTGGTACAGAATTTATGCTAGGCTTCTGGCTTCTTCTCTGGATCATTTCCCACAGAGGAGAATGAGACCCTACCCACCTCATGTAGTGGAATTCCAAGGCCAGGTCATTCCAGTGCTTCTCATCTGGAGGAACTACTGACTTGAGGGCACAAGGAAAGTGTCCCCCCCAGTTGTCACACAGGTACACCACACCGTACTGGCCCCGGCCCAGCTCCTGTCCCAGTTTAGGTTTACCTGCAAAGCACAGAGACAGAGATAAGGCAGGAGGGGTGGGGACTTGCTGGGCAACCTCCATAGGATTCTTAGCCCTGGACCTGCCTAGAGACAGGAAGTCATAATTACACAGCGGGCGGGGAGCTGCCATTCTAAACCAGCAGAAAGTAATCTGACTGGTTTGGCTGAAGTAAATTTGGTCATGTTATTTGAACTATGTAAGTAGCAGACCCAAACACACGTCAGGAATTCAACTACGCATCAGGGAGTGCTACACAGATTCCCAAGGAAGCAGCTTTGGACACTGGCATTCTCCCAGGCTGAGAGGAAAACTGTCCTCCAATTTACTTGTGAAAAACAAGGACTCACCATGTAGCAAGACATCCTGTAAAGAACGGCTCTCCAGAGAAAGCCTGGCCAGGCGGGGGGCATGATCTTTCCGAACCTTCAGCCACAGGTCCTCAGTTTTCTCCAACCGGCCTGAGTGGCCAGCTTCCAGCTGGGAGGACATGGGAGACAAGACATGACTTACAAAGTCCCTGGTATATAGGGATAACGGCATCTGTGTCATAAGAATGACTGTGAGAATCAGGTAAGATGTATGTAACCAATTTAGTTCCGAGATTAGTCGTAATGTAATACTTTCTCCTCCTGTGTGTATATCGTATTACCCACCCTCCCCCGACACACACACACACGCACACACACATGCACACACATCCCCAAAAGGACAAGCAGATGTCACAAAACTGCCAACTAGTATGGAAGTTGGAAAGTCATCCTTTTCTGTCAATCGTTCCTGAAGTACTACAGAAAATTCCTGCCCCTTGATTTTCATTCCTTACTCAATGAAATGGGGAGAAAGTAACTAGAAAGTAACATGGAAAATTTATTGATAAAACTTCCTGTGACATGGTATTATCCTTGGATAGAGTAGAAAATATACTAATGATTTTTAAAACATTATATGGAGAGCAGATTTAAATATTACCCAGTAGATGAGGTTCTCTCCACTTGATCCAGCTTTTGTCTCCTTTCCTATATACCCACCTGCCTCAGGGAGGCTGCAAAAGCCTCATGAGAACTATTGAGCCGGGTCCGGAACTGGCTGCAAATGCTTTTGGCCAACTTGGAGGCACTGAGGCTCTCAATGGCTTCCTGGGCCACCTTCCTCTTCCATTCTAGTGTGATGGCCGGTGGGCTCACCCACGTGATGCGCTGGATGATCTGCCAGGACAAGGACAGTGAGATCAGAGACGGAAACCACTGGAAAAACCAACGCCCTCCCCTCTCTGAGTTATCCACTCTTAAGACAGGGGCCATATGAAGTCCAAGACTGCTCTCCAATTCCATCTACCTCAAGACTAGGGCTCGGGCCACAGGAAAGCATTAAAGAACACTAGACCTAGTCTACGTGTTCACAAACTCTCAATACATTACACCTAGTGCCAGACAGTGCCAGGTAAATCCGTCTGTGAAGTCAGAAAATCCCTGTGAACTCCACATAACAGGCGGGTCACGTTCCAGAAAAGGAACCACACTCACAGCCTCTGGCAACAAAGCCTGGTTCTGAGACAACATTTAGGTTGGGACAAAGAGATACGAAGAAGCTGGCAAGGCAGTCTTATGGCTCCATAGAATAGCATTTAAACACATCACTTTTAAGAGTTAAAGGTGGCCTAAACAACAAAACAATCAGACAAGCAAAATATAACCAAAGACACAGAAATAGAGAACATGGGGACAGTGAGCAGAGGGGAGAGGGGAGGGAATTTCAGGGGAAAAGGGGAAGGGTTTACAGGAACAAGAATAAAGGACACATGGACAAAAACTGGGGGGGGGTGGTGGAAATGGGACGGAGAGGGTAGGGCTGGGTGAGTGGGCTTGGATGGGAGTAAAAGACAGAATCTCTGTACTTGAACAACAATTTTTTAAATTAATTAATTAATTTAATTAATTAAAAAAAAAGAGTTAAAGGTGGCGACAGTAACAATTACACCAGAACGAGCAGGAACAGAATTCTCCCCGGAAGGAAAACAAGGACGCACGGCCACGCTCCACTAACAGAAGGAGCCTATCGCAGTAACTAGGGTTCGTGTGAGCCGACTAAGGGCAGAACGTTTTTTCTCTGAGCAGCCTCTACCTGTTTGATTTGTTCCCACAGCATCCTTGTAACCGAGGACCCTGAGTGAAATGTGACTTCGACATGATAGGCAGCATTTAAAATCTGAAAGACAACACACAAAAGAAAATAAGTATGTCCTGAGTGGCTTTTTAAAAAATGCAATAAATGATACTCCAAGAACATAGTCTGGTCTCAAGGTTTTCAAATTTAACCCTCAATATATGTGTAGTGTCAATGCAAGTTGATCGAGCATTTTGTGACTATTTGGGTGCCTTTTCTTCATCTTCTTCTTGCTCATTGACTTACCTGCAGTTGTATAGTTCATAAGCACCTCCTACAGGCAGTGATCATATGATAGGAAATGAGCATAAATAAAATTCTAAATGGATCAACAAGAAGTTGAAAGGGAAACTGTTGGCTAACTTGACGTTGGGCTTATGTGCGGATTCCGTTTCACGTGTCATCCAGGATGTGGTGTCTTAAACTCTCTGAGTACCTGTTTGAGATTATTACTGGTGATGTGAACTGAGACATCCTGAGACTTCTCCAGGCTCTGCAAACACCGTTCCAGCGTTCCGACAAAACTCTCACGTAGGTAATCCACTGAGCTGATCAGCTTGTTAGCCACCGCCTGATTCAGCCGGGAGATGATGAGTTCCTGGATCTGTCGAATGCAGCATTTGATCTCTCTGGTGCCTACTGGTTCCCCATTCTCAGGGACAATGACATCTACGGGGGCAGAGAAATAAGTTAGTTGGCTGTGAGGGGAAGGAGCAGGCATACCGAATAAAAACATCTCTCAAGCCAAGGAGCTACCACAACAGCTACACAACAGATGGCTGGCTGATGAACTCTGACCCTCAGGGTGATCGGGGGGCCATGTAACCCTCAATTACTTAAGGGAGCTAATAATCCTCAGAAGGAGCAATTGTGTCTAGAATAAGCCTATTGATTTTGTTAGCTTTTTGATCATATTTATTTTATTGAGTGCAGACTCTCTGAAAGCACTATAGTAATTTACACACAGTCTCATTTAATCTTCACAGTAGCTTTGTCAGGTGGGTATTACTGTTTACAGTTTTAGATCAGGAAACAGCCTCGAAGGGAGGACAAAGTGGGCCACAGGGAAGAGGATGTGCAGTTAGGAAGTACTACACCCAGCACTGAACCCAAAGTCATGAATTTCAAAGCCTCTGATCTTCGTGGTTTTTCATAGCACCTAGCATACTGAGAAAAACCCCAGAGTCAGGTTTTCAGTTATAATCAATTACTAGATAAACAAAAGTCAAACTGGAACACTGACTGTCTCCTCCATGCCGCTTCCTCTTCCCAGCATTAGAACCTGCTCTGCAAGCCAGAGGACAGAAGTTAACAGAAGATACACCACCTGCAAACACTCCACTCCTAAAAAGGCAGTCTTGTGTTTACTGCTGGGAATTTAGTGTCACCTCTTTGGAGGAAATCTGTCAACATCTATCAAAATTCTAAACCAACTACCCAACAACAATAACAACAACCTATATAACCTTTGACCTAACCATACTGCTTCTAGATGTTATTTTTCTAGAAATATACCCTTACAAGTCCCAGAGATATATATGTATGATGATGTTCAATGCAGTACAGTTTGTAATAGCAAGAAAATAAATAAATAAAAGAAACAAAGAAATAGACTAAATGTTCATTAGTAGGGGAATAGTTAAATAAATTAAGGTACAGCCATTATAAGAAGACCAATTTGTACACCCATTTATAAAAGGTCTCTAAGATATAAATTAAATGAAAAAGCAGCAGGCAGCAGATACAGAGGAAAACTGGATGACTGGGGATAGTATGTCTATACCTTTGAGCTAAGTACCATGTATACAGTACTTAATATGTAGTCTTAGTAGAAATCTGGCTCCACAGAATATGTTGTAGAGTTCTTCTAAATCTATTTATTGTCACCCCAAGAATAGCCAGAGAGGACTCAGAACAAGGTAAAAAGCAAATATGTAAGTTAATATATATAGCCAATATATATATTATAGCCAACCAGGTAAGTAGATCCAAAAAACACAATGTAGTTAACAGGGCCAGATATGTGATCTGCTTGTTCCCAGTCACTCCCACATCTGTTGAGCTAACCATCATACCCCAGACACCGAACACGGTATGCCTGGCAATGACAGACAATCAAGTATTTCACTGTCTGCCCAACTTAGCTGCCCTGTGTATACTGTGATGTCAGCACTGCCAGTCCAGGGTCTTTAATTACTCAGAAGACTTCCCAGGATTTCCACTGCAAGTGAGCATGTCTCAGCAACTCCTCCTTACAGTAGGAATTCATCAAAGAGGGAATTTTGTTCATCTTTACCAGTAAGAAATGAAGCCTCCTATGCTTGCTAAAGCCAACCATGTTTCCTTTGTATCCGTAAGTTTAACGGCCACATACCATCATTCACATACTCATTCAGTAGCTAAAGAGGTACTGTAACAGACTCTATGTTATTTGCTGCAAGAAATATGGTAAGGCCAGGGTCCTATTCTCCTGCATCTTCAGGATTTTAGAAAACAGAAGAACATCATTGTAAATAACTATAATAAAAAAATGAAAGTGAAATACATCAGACATTTCAATTACAAATGAAATGCTTTGGGAGTTCAGATGAATGCAATGGTTATTAGTGAATAAAATCAAAGAGAGTTTCATGAAAAATGTTACTCGGAAGATTCACAGACAATAAAAGACATTTCAGGTTTAGGGTATGGAGCAAAAAGAAAAGGTAAGAGGAACATATAGCCCAGGCTGGTGTAGCTCAGTGGATTGAGCGCGGGCCTACAAACCAAAGGATTGCAGTTCGATTCCCAGTCAGGGCACATGCCTGGGTTGCAGGCCAGTTCCCGGCAGGGGATGCATGAGAGGCAACCATACATTGGTATTTCTCTCCCTCCCTCTTTCCCTTCCCCTCTAAAGATAAATAAAATCTTTTTTTAAAAAAAGAGGAGCATATAGAAGACAGCAAGCAGTTGAAAGCAACTGAAACAGAAATTACATGAAGGTGCACAGTAGGAAATATGATGGAAATCGCTGGTAAGGGCTAGGCTTTGGAAAAATCTTTAATACTAGGTGAAGAAGTCTACACGTAGTCTGCAGGAACAAGGAGCTAGTAAAGATGCACTGGAGAAAGGAGAAAAAGATGTCAGTGAGATCAACCAGGTAACAATAGTTCAGTTAGACTCAAGAAGAAGGAATAGAAAAGCAAAGGTTGATATAAAATATGGGAGAAGACTCATCAGGACTCGGCAACCAAGTGGAAGTGGGCAAAGAGAAAGAAAACAGCTAAAGGCAGTGCTGAGGAGTTGCAGCTGGCTACGAGGAAGACGGCCGCATCCCATAACTGGGAACAGACTGAGAAGCAGTGAAACATGGAAATAAAAGAGTATGGGCTCAGGAATCAGACTATATTGATTCAAATCCTGCCTCTACAATTTAGGAGTTACGTAACCTTGAGGAAATTACTGTCTAAGCCTCAGTTCCCTCATCTAGAAAATGGCAACGAGTATAATGCGCCTAGGGAGGTTGCTTTTGAAAAAACAAACAAACAAAACCCCCCAAAACATAATGCCCTTAGGTCCCATGCCAAAAACTCCTGAAGAATTAGCAGTCTTAAGCATTTGTATTTTCAAAAACCCTCCCAGGTGATCTGGATATACAGCCATGGTTAAGAACCTAAAGCCTAACCTGCAAACCATGCCATTCTAATGGTGGTTGAGTTAATGTCTGGTGCAGGGAAGTCTACGTAGCTGTCAGTAGACAAAGTCAGCAGCATCTAAAACTTCAGACACCAAAAGACTAACCTCTGTGGCCCAATCTTGTTAATAGCTATTTTAAGAATGGGACCACCAGAAAAGCTAAAAACACTACTTTGGGAAAGGCTCCTAACTTGGGTTTCAAGAGCAGCCTGAAAGAAAAATGGAGACTCACACACAAAAAGTGCCAATAAGAACGTGCTATGCTGAAGGAGCCAAGGTTAAAGCATGACTTAGTAACATTCTTTGAGCAGTTCTTTTCCAGCTCCATTAAGGTCAAGTGGACCCAGACATAAACTGGAGATCATAAATGATTTCCAGTAGGTGCCTGCTGGAAAGGGGTGTAGGTGAGAAAACCCTGAGGTTTCCCCATTTCCGGCTGGAAAGGGAAGACGGTCCTATAGTCCTAGCATCCCACCAAGTGTGCTGGGACCTACCTTTAAACTCCATGTTGGCAGCATCATCCAGAAGTTCCTCCTTCATGGTGTTGAGTGTCTCAACAATCATGTCCTTCATTTCCTCCTGCTTTCGGTTGGCAATATTCATCAATGATTCATATAACTCATTCTCCATTTTTCGCGTATATTCTAGACGTTTGGGAGTAATCTGCAGGTCCCGCTGCATGTCAAAGGCCTGGTTAATAAAGATGTCAAGGCAGCAGCAGTGCACCAGGTTCAGGGCCTTGGCTCCATCCACCAAGCGAGCCTGTAGAACCTGGTGAGAAAATGTGCTCAAGAGTCTCAGCTTCTCACTTTGTTCCACCAACATGCTCTGAGCTTTAGTGTCCTGGCCAGAGGCCCCGCAGTTGCAGTGACTGATGCTCAGATAGCCCAGGTCAATTAGCTGACGATGAAGTGGTGATCTCTCATTCTCCATTCTTTTGGTGGAAGAGTCAATTATCTCTGAGCCCAACTTCAGTACTTTGAAAAAGAATATGGGAAAAAAGAAATACTTTCGGATTTCCTGGAGCTCTTGCTCTTCCCTCTCGGATAGTTCATCTTTGTGAAGTGCATAGGTTATCACAGGGAAGAAATCATTCACCAAGTCACCCAGAACATCCACTGTGGGCCGGAGGCTTTGGCACGGTGCTAGCACAATGTCCACATCCTGGAATGGTAACGAGGTCATATCAGCACTTCAGGGTCAACTAATCCTTGCCTCCCCAAAGTCCCACACCGAGACCAAAATCCTGATCTATAATGGGGCGGTTGGATTTTGGGGTGCCCCCAGTCATCTGTCCACCTCCTTCATCAGTTACCAACACTCATCTAGAGAGAGTGAAAAAACAAGTAAGTAGAAAGAATGGCAGTGTCCTTAGCCATTTCTGATGTAAATAATACATTTTAGTCCCTGACTTCCTATGTTGCTTGGAAACTCATGATTCTCTCTGATGAAGACAGACAAACAGAAGAAAGAACTATTATGGAAGTTATCAGACTGAGATAACTGGAACATCCTCTGCCCCCATCTCACAGCCCCGTCCGTCCCCACGTCTCTAACTTTGCTAGCTCCGAAGCAGCCTTTAAATCTTGATGTTTACGTCATGTCATACCATTACAGAGGCTTTCCTATAACATAATCCCAAGGAATTTTTCTCTGCCTCTCCTTTTCTTATTGTTTAACACATCTAAAATTTATTTATTTAAAACACATTTTTCCCCATAAGCCAACAAACTCTTTGAGGGCAGTGACTATGTCTATCTTATTCATGATTATAACTCCAGTGTCCATCATAGAGTAAGTCCTCAATATTGTTGAATCGATCAAGCTATGGCAAGCTAAAAGCCAGGCCTGCCAACATTATTACTGTCCTATTCTCTGAGTCTACAGGTATCCCAGAGTCTTAGCCATTTAAATATTGGAAATACCTTTATTCTCAGGATCACGTGGTATAGCAGAAACTAAAGTATGCCCACCCAATATTCAGCCTCTGCATTCTTTGGGAAGGCAATGTCCTCTACAGACAGGAGTGGCCAACTAAGTGTATGGATCTACCAGGAAAGCCCTTTAGAGATTTGATTCTACCAAGAAGTATGCCCACTGGCCTTCCCCTGCTTGGCTGGAGCACAGACATAGTATCTAGAGCAGAGGTGGTCACACCGCAGCTGACAGGCAAACCTCAGTGTGGACCCAGAGTTAAGGATCATGAAACAAAAAAACCCAGAAGCCTAGAAACCTGATGACCGCAGAGCTGCCATGCAAGCGCTGAACTGCCTAGCAGTTCTTTTTTAAAAAAATTAATACCTGTGTCTTATTTAAACAAGCCCCTGTGTTTTTCTGTCTTTTGCGTTTGACTGAACCCAAGTTCTTAAAGTGAGTTTCAAGAATGATCTTTGGTTTAGAAACAAACCTTCTACAGGTCCTTTTCCTAGCCAACAATTTCTGCTTTGTGTTTTATTTCTTTCCTAAGGATCCTGAAGCACTTTGGAGCATATCTTTCCATCTGCTGCATAAGCTGCTCCTCTGTATCCCTGAAACTGGCTACTGTGCCTGGCATTCTGGACCTAAGGGTTGACCTAAAGACTCTCACCTGTATCACCACCATAAGCACAGCAATTCCCAAAGTGTTCAGGGGTCTACAAACTCAAAAATCAATGCTCCACTGCATTCTAGCACATTTTACATGCTAGAACTCAACACAAAGCTGCCCAAATTTGTGTCCTTAATAGTTATCAGATGTTGAGATTTTACTTTATTTGAAATCTAAAGAAATATACAATTTGTTTAGTTCCTTTCAGAATAATATTCTGTTTTCATTGCTTACCTTATTTGAGCAAGATGTATTTCTGATGGGAGATTTTCAAATATCAAATCCTAGGAGCTCTTGCCTTTTTGATCTCCTTCTCTAGATAAGTAAGAAAGAACTAAGAAATGCCAGCCTATTGTTTCTTGCACTGTGTGTGTGTGTGTGAGAGAGAGAGACAGAGAGAGACAGAGAGATCTCTCCCATTCACAGCAAAGCACAAAGGTCTCACCTTCCCCAACAAAGCACTAGTACGTGTTATCCTAAAGCACGTCACATAAGTGTCGTTTGGCCGGCCACTTTCAACTCTAAAGCTGAAAGTGCTTTTAGTATCTGACCATTTGCATTTGAGCAAACACTGCATACATCCACCTATTTTCCATCCAAGCCTAGGACAAGAAGAAATCTGCAGAGTCATCTGTGCCCTGAATTGCATGAAATGTTTTCTGACTGGAAGATTAATCTGACACTCACCATGACATTCAGAACAAGCCCTCTTTCACTCCCGAGTCACACTGCTAGAGTAAGGATCATTTCATGAGGCACATGGAAAATGTGGGTAAGAACTTCTAATGTTTAGAGTAGAATATACAACTACCTAAATGCCAACATTTTAATTTCATATAATTAGAAAAAGACTAGAAGAAAAAAATCTCAAGAAATTAAAATATAATATGGTAGAGAATTATAAATGAAAATGCTCTCAAAAACATTTATTTTAAAATTGCAAAGCTGTGGGTTGCAGGCCAGTTCCCTGCAGGCCAATTCCCAGCAGGGGACGCACGAAAAGCAATTATACATTGATGTTTCTCTCCCTCTCTCCTTCCCTTTCCCTCTAAAAAAGATAAATAAATAAAATCTTAAAATTGCAAAGCTGTCTTAAACATATGCATTTTAAAAGATGTAAGCCACCCTGACTGGTTTGACCAGGTTGGCTGGACACAGACCCACGCTGCAAAAGGTTACCAGTTCAATTCCCAGTAAGGGCACATACTTGGGTTGCAGGCCGGATGCCAGTTACAGGCATTTGAGAGGCAGCCAATTGGTGTTTCTCTGTCACACTGATGTTTCGCTTCCTTTCTTTCTCCCACCCTTCCCCTCTCTCTAAAATAAATAAAAGCCTAAATATTCAAAACCAAAGTAAGTGTTGTTCAGAAAATTTTCAGGAAGAATCTTTGTTTGCTTGTTTATTTGATGGATTTTCTTAAAATTCTAAAATAAATTTCCAGGTTTTCCTCAAAGGACCATTTTGTGTGCAATAGAACCACTGGCCAAGGCTGCCAAGTCTGTTTGTAGAATCGATATCCTTTCTAAGACCCAGCTCAGTTGAGCTGCTCAGGGATGCAAATTCATTTGTTTAAATGGATCCAAGGTTTTCTAATGGGAGGTATTACCTGACATGCTGGCACCCAGAAAGAACTTGTCTACTCCTCAATATATCCTGTACTAAACAAAAATGGGTAGAAAACAAGTACCACGCCCTCTTCCCCGTTTCCCAGTTAAGTAACTTGTACAGTTGGCCTCACTGTTCTATCATGACTTCTAGAGGACAGGAAAAAAGGGCTGCTGGCTGAGACCTTGGCAGCAGCACAAATTAGACTGGAATGTGATATGAGATTCTGCAATACTTACGGTGAAGGGATGACTCATGCCTCATAGTTATAAACAAAAAGGAAGCCAGCACTGTCTCCTGGAGACAGGGAGTGAAAAAAATAACTGCTAGAGGATGAGCCAGACCTGTTCTGGGCCCTATTATGACCACCTTCGAGGGAAGTCTGACCTCAGACTGCCTGTTCCCAGATCCTAGAACAGTACCTGGCACTGTGTAAGCATTCAATAAATAAATGTGAAAGGAATGGATAAATAAATGATGCCTTTACTACTTGCTCAAAACCCCTTTCACTAACTACGAGTAATCTTGGCCAGCTAGCTCAGTTGGTTAGATATGCCAAGGTTGCGGGTTCTAGCCCTGGTCAGGGCACATATAAGAAGCAATCAATGAATGCATAAAGTAAGCGGAGCAACAGATGAATGTTTCTCTCCCCCTCCCTTCATTTCTCTAAAATCAAAAAGTAATTTTTTTAATTAACCAGAAGTAAACTTTTCTACCCTTCAACCTATACCCCACACATTTGTCTGGAATTGCTGTCTGTCCCTACTCCAAGAATGATACAGTGAGTGAGCATTTTTCTTCTAACTCAAGTCCAGGAACCAGATTGCAGGGAAGCATGAGAGTGCCCCCTACTTCCACTTTAAGTCACAGTAGATTCCTACAGAGATTTCTTCTGTGGGATGCACTCTGCACAAATCTATGGGATCTACAGGTGCTGACATTACCATCAATTTTCTTGGCAAGACTGAGAATGCAAGAGAAAGGAGACTGCTACTCTGCAGGCACCAGAATTCACCTCTTTGGTTTTGTTTTGGGTGTAAGTGACACTACCTTAAATGCTAAGAAGAAATCACAGAGCTGCTGAGGAAGCCGACGGCCCCCTAAGGCAGCCAGCTCCACGGATAAGAGCCTCACGCTCTGTGCCCCTGGCATGTTGCTGGCACCGTTTTCAGCCAAGAATGGCCATGCTGACTGCCACTTTAGACAGAAGGCAGCCATGACCTCAGGTAGGTCACAGCTGTCTCTGCTTTCTCTGCAGTCCTGAAACCTCGGGTTTATGTCACACAAAAGAAAAGAACACAACTATATTGTCCTGCTTTGCTCCCCCATGGACACACCCTCAACTTCATCTCTGCTGCCAAATTCTCCCTATTTTTACTGTCAATTTTCCCATGCAATTCTCACAGGGCAGTTGAAAGGTAGCTTTTTGTGTGTGTTTGTTTTCACACAGGATTAATTCTTCTTTATTTTTATATAGCTCCTGGAACTCATTATCACTCTTAAATGTTACTTGAATATTAAGAAACACACCTCTCTACTCTTGTTCCAGTACAGAAAATACCCTGACTCTTGTGGGTACAGTCTCACAGGGGAGCTGCAACTCCAGGGCTATAAAACGCTAGCCTCGTAAGCACCTGGGACTGGTCTGAAGCCAACGGATAGCTTTATGCAGCGGTCAGCATGGAACGGATGCAAGCTCATCTTCCTACTCAGTAAAAATACCAGTATGGTAACTCAGGTGCCAGAAACAAGGTTTGGGGAAAAACACAATCCCAAAACCTTAAACCAACCACAGAAAGCATGATGCTAAAAGTGGGAATATATTTACAAACCTAAACACTCCAAAACAGGGACTCTGAACCTCAACTGATAAGCATGAAGCCCTAAGGACCTGAACTATCTAAGGATCAGAACCTTTGCACTTCGTACTTCTTGTCTGAAGACAAGTTTACAAGAATGTACTGAATGGACACTTTGCATTCTACCTGTGGATATTCAAACACCCACAGATACAGATAAAATAGGAATCTGAAGCTTTTTTCTTTTACCACTTACTACATCCACTAAGAAAGAAAGAGAGAGAAAAACAGACAGACAAAAAAGTGAAACGGAGAAGAGAGAGAGGAAGGGAAGACTTTATATACGTATTAACTTTATGACTTTAACCTTTATACTATTTGCCTTTTAATAACATTCCTCTTCTTTCATTTTATTACAAAAGTATTTCATAATAAATTATAAAAAACTCTGTCTCTAATTATAGCAGAATCATAACTATATATATAAGTAAATCAGAACCAGGAGGACTTAGGTTTGACAAAAGGAAGGAGTTCCAATGTGAACAGTTCTCAGGGAAGCGGTGAGTGACAGAGAGTAGGCAACCCTCTTCTCAAGGACACTGATTAACTCACACAAAGGGAGGAGGGAACTGGCTGCTAGGCACTGGACACGGCTACTCTGTTATTTAAGCTTCGACTCACATCAGTCCTAAAAGAGATGGCTAACTACTCCCATCTTACAAATGAGAGAATCGAGCACCAGAGTGACACAGTCAATTAAGTGACAAAGACGGGGTATAAAGCCAGGTCCGCTTGACTGCGAGCGCCGTGTTTAAATAGTAACTGAAGGTCCACTGGACGTCAGGGACCGTCTGTCAGGGCCCTTCTGAAAGAATAAAGGTTGGACAAGATGATTCCAAGGATCGTAACAATGCTTGTGTTCTGTGTTAAGCAGTATATCCTGCCTACGGAGTAAGGGCCCTGCTATGAAACAATCCTGCAAGGACTGGGTGAAATATCAGAAAAGAAGTCAGAAGAAAATATTTTTCATAGCCCCAAAAACAGTTTCTGCATGTTGACAGTACTTTCAATCTCGCAGCCTCGGAACTGGGGGAGATTCCCTACCCCCGCCACCCTCTTCTCAAAGGGAAACTCCAGCAGATTTCTGAGGCAGGGAGGAGGAGGGAGGAAGGTGTCCGGTGCACAACAGAGGCAGGCTCCCAGAAAAGGGAGAAGACGAGAGAGGAAGATTAAGACTCTGATCTTGGACAGATTTTTCTCCTCAAGAGCCAGCCTTGGAAGGCCAAAAATTAATCACTGGAGGTGAACTGAGAAAACTTTTCTTAAGAGATACCAAGGCTTCTCTGGTGAGCATAGAGATTTCTTTTTTTAAATCTTGCCTCTAAACTACACATATCTTTAATAGGTAAGTTAACCTATAATGAGTATTCCCAGGTTTCTTGACAAAAAACCATGTATACAGGACAGTTACATTTCACTATGTATGTTAGTGTGCATTAGGGGAAAGGCGAGAGAGATGCTAAAATCAAAGAACACCGGACTACTGCCTGGAAGAGATTTAGCATTTGCATGAACCTCCCAAATTCTTTTTTTTGTTAAACATATCACTTTAGTTTCCCTTTCTTTTTGCCCCAGAAAACCGTGGTTTCTTTATTTTAATATCTCTTGAATGTCATTATTTCTCTGTCTTATATATATTATCCCAACTTCATTTCTTTGCCTTGAAATGGCCAGTTTTGGCCTAATTCCATACACTTTCTCCTCCTAAAAGGATCTTCTTGCCTTGAGAACTCTCACCCAGATGTCTTTCCTACTTTTTACCAATCAACCATTATCTTTCAATTTAGATATGTTCTAGAGAAGATACGGTATCTAAGAAAGTAAGCAACACACAACAAATTTACTTCTATAAACTGACATATTAAATGCCAATAACTAGACAAAAATTGAGAGAAGCTAACCTAGCAACAAACAATATTCCAAACAAACAGAACCAACAAGCAAAACAGAGAGACTCAAACAGAGCAGGCGGGCAGCTTTGGACAGGGGCTGGGGGACCTGGGGCGGAGCAAAGGAAAAGAACTGGGGGCACGGAGGCTGTGTGATGGCTGGGGGGGAGGGGTGGATGGAGGCAAGTAACTGTCATAAAAAAATGGAAATTTTTAGCCGTGGCGTGGTGGGTTGAGCGCTGGCCTAAAAACCAAAGGGTTGCGGGTAGAATCCTAGTCAGGGAACACGCCTGGGTTGCAAGCCAGGTCCCCACATAGGGAGGTGTGAGAGGCTGCCACACACCGACGCTTCTCTCCCTTTCTTTCTCTATCCCTTCCTCTCGCTCTAAAAATAAAATTTTTATAAATCTTTAAAATTTTTTTAAAAACCATTTGGATTTAAAATTTTGCATAAACTTTTTTCATTTTAAGTAAGATAATTTATGATGATTTTGGCTCGTGAAAGTGTTGACTGCTGAGAAATTAAAAACACCAAGGTCTGTATAACATTTAAAACAGATTTTTTTCCAGCAAAAGCTATTGATTGAGGGTTATAAATAAAAAACTTTTTAACTCAAACTGGTTAATGTTACAAATAGTATAAAAAAATTTATTTGCAGTTTAGTAGACCTTTCCTAGAAACATCCATCTACTTCAGTTCACTGAAATATACCCTACCAGACACCACCATGAGCCAAAAAAGGTGTCAGCATATGGCAGGCTGGCTGCTAGGTAACCCGTCCACTTGTCCAAAGGGCCAAAGAAAATCTGGGAGGGACAAGCAGGCCACTGATAGGAGCAGAACCACTGAGAGCTGTGGAGCAGCCGCGGGAAGTAAAACAGCAGAGGGAGCGCACCTCAGGCTGAGGAAGTTTAATCATCTCCGCTTCTTTTCATTCCTTTTCTTACAGTGTTCGCCGGAAAAAAATACACATACACTGCACACATCAGACTCAGACCAATCTGAGCACACGACTACGGTCCACTGGATTTACAAGAGGAAAAAAGAGAGAAGGGGGCGGAGAGATGCATGTGCGGACAGGGGTGGGTGGGGGAGGGGAAATGTGTCTCTACAAGAAAGACCGAACCAGCTCATTCCAGCTCATTCGGTGAGCAGTGGAATGTGCTGCCAACTGAAAATGACTACGGTTTTGTTTCTGTTGTAGGTTTTTTTTAATGTTTTAAATTTAACAATAAACAAGATTTCGGAAACTAATGGCTTGACGTGTTCCTCTAACAATGAATTATGAACCAAGAATGTCAGAACTAAACAGCTGAGAACACCGAGTGCTGTGGGTTCCCTGGCCTATTCCGGAAACACCGAAAGTGGCTCATGTATGAGGACTTTAAAGCAGCGCATTAGAAGAACGACCATTGTATAAGAGGGTAAGGAAAACTTCTGCTTTGATAATTCGACAGTTAAAAATGAACATCAATTTCCCTTAATTCAATCTTGGTTTCCTTTAGTTCAATGTTTCCTTTCTTTACCACCCTTTTACACACCAAACGGAAGGGCTGTTGAGAGCTAACTCACTTGTCCTAAATATAAAGGGAGCTAAACAAGATCTTTCTCACTGGCATGAAAAATCTCCAAGGCAGCGGTGAAATGCCCCCAGCAGTGAGCTGGGCATGGCTGCTGTATTTAATGGGGACAGGAGCCGGACTAGAGGCAGGCCAGGCCCTGAGCTCCACAAAAGCTGCTGTCACTCTGAGGTTCCCCATCAAGGAGTTCTAACTGTGAACCGTTGGGGCCCGTTGCTATTTCTACATCAAAACCATTAGGGAATAAAGCAGATCTGAAGAAACATTGGCTAAGGAAGCCTCAGAAACCACATGAAACAGAAACAAAGACTAGTAAATTCCTCAAGAAAAGAGAAGAATATTCCTTAAGAAAGAATATATACTTCAACTGTATGGAGAGGAAGCTGCTTGGTATCTCAACCTCCCACCAGGCAGCCTGCTCAACCGCTACTGCGGCTGGGTGCTCAGCACGCGTCCGAGCAGGGCTGGCAGCTCTCACAGCACGGCGGGCGCTCAGAGTGCACCTGGGAAGGCGCTCGCTCTCCTACCTTGTGTCACCTCAATTCATGGACCAAAAGTAAATGAACACCAAAAATGGAAACCAATAAAATGAAGGGGCACCGAGAAACCAAATAACTGGCCCTTCCTGCAATGGCTTTGCTCACATCCTAAGACTGCTTTTAAAAGGCAAAAACAGGCAAACTCTCTGCCCAACCTCGAGCAGGCATTTCACCTGTTTAACAGGGTAAGCTCCAGGTCACAAGGTATTAGGTCCCAGCACCAATTTAGAGGTTGCTACCATTTGCTTTTTCAAAATGAAGTCAAACAGAATAAAAAAGGAAAATATCAGTGTGTTTTGCAAGAAGTATTATTTCATGAAACTTTATTTCAAATGTACATGTGTACATGTGTACTGGGTCCTGTTATAAATCATTATTTCTTACAACATTTTACTTTATTTTATTTTTTTAAGATTTTATTTTTTTATCTTTAGAGGGGAAGGGAAGGAGAGAGGGAGAGAAACATCAATGTATGGTTGCCTCTTGTGTGTCCCCTGCTGGGAACTGGCCTGCAGGGAACCAGCCTGCAACCCAGGGATGTAACCTGACTGGGAATCAAACCCCGACTGCCTGGTTCGCAGGCCCACTCTCAATCCACTGAGCTACACCAGCCAGGGCTATTTCTTACAACATTTAAAAATCTACAGGTATGAAAATCACTGAGCTATTGAAAACTGGAGAAAACTTGACCAGGGTGGTATACTACAGACAGATCAAATGCTTATGACTTGTGAAGAAGTTCATGGGTCAACCGAGAAACCTCAGTCAATATATAAGACTTACTCTCAGAGTTATCTAAGAACGCTCGCAATTGTCCCTGAGCTAAGAAGTGCGAGATCTAGGTATGAAAACAGGAAAGCCACCACTGAAATGGACCTGAGAGAAAAATGCTGCCTTATGCAAAGGGGACCCCCCCTCCCCGCCCAAACGGAATTACCTTCTGGAGGGCGGGCCCCTTGTAGTACAGGCTTCCTCCACTAGGTGAGTGTTCTAGGAACCATCTGTTTCAGTGTGCCAGCTGGTGGTGTGGTGAGAGGCTACGTTTGGCATCACTGAATTTTTTTTGTGAAGAATCTTTCAATATGTATGCCCATTTCATGATGGGTGTGATTTACGAGCACACCTGCCCAGACTGCGCTGGGTATTCAGCAGTTTTTGACCAAAAAGGGCAGACTCCCATGCCCCACCCTCCTTATTCACCTGCTCTCACCCTGAGCAACTTTTTTTGTTTCCCCAGATGAAAAAAGTCCTCAAAGGAAAACATTGTGCTGATATGGAAGAGGTGAAACAAAAAATAGCAGAAGTACTAAAGGCATCAAAATCGAGGAGTTCAAAAACTATTTTGGGCAGTGGTAAAAACGTCTCCGTAGGTGTATTGCAACCAATGGAGAGTACTCTGAAAGTGACTGAAGTTTAAACATGTAAGACTACATAGATAATTTTTTATAAATAAATTCTGGGTTTTCTGCCCTCCCCTTGTATACATAGCCCCCTCTAGCTTTTATCAAGATAAAATGAAAGTGGACGGACTCTGGCCCTGACTGGCGTGGCTCAGTGAATTGACTGCCGGCCTGCAAACCAAAGGGTCGCTGGTTCAATGTCCAATTTAGGGCACATGCCTGGATTGTACGCCAGGTGCCCATTAGGGGACGCATAAGAGGCAACCACACATTGATGTTTCTCTCCCTCTCTTTCTCCCTCCCCTCCCCTCTCTAAGGGGAGAGATTTCTACGAAATCTTTAAAAAGAATAAATCTGGACTCTGGAAGGAAGTGACAGTTTCTACTTCAAGAATATCATATAGACGATGGCCACAACCAAATGGCACCATGGCCACAACCAAAGGGCTCTTTCGCTGACTCGGAGATCAAGCCTGTTAGAACAAGGGTGGGTGAAGAGGTTTTAAGAAAAAAGAAACCACTCTCTCAATCTTGCCAACCCAGCTCTATCTTCCTGGCCCAGCTAACCAAAGTGATAGACTCTATTCTGACAGTGTCTGCATTCCTTCAGTCCTGACCCTCGGGAACAGTCACATCCTGTGCTCATCCCCATTTAGTCTAATAAAATAGCCCAGTCCTAGCACAGGAAAGGAGTCCTTCCTAAGTGCAGACAGGAATACCAGACAGGCAACATGATTTTTAGGATATGCCACGAGACCTGCGTTTTCTTTGGAGAGTTTACTGCAAAAGAGAAGCAAATGACATTCTTCTCGTGCCAGGATCTCTAGACCTCATAACGTTGAGCCAGACTTGTTCTCACATTCCCAAGCTCCTTAGAAAGTACAACATGATCTATCCCACTTAGCTCAGCAAGTGATGGCTAAGCCTAAGGAAAACCTCACAAAATTTTTTGCTCATCTCTCACAAGAACATTAACTATGCATTGTCTTATTGCTCCTTTTAGAAAGGGATGGTTAGAGGCACTCCTAGCAACACCTTCCTGCTAAGAAAGAAAAAGGATTTCTAATCCTCATCATAATTATTCTGTAAAAGCATGTCAAGATGTAAGTATCACATTCCCTCTGCTTTAGAAAGGGAGATAGGAGGCAGGGAGACGAGCCGATTGCTCAGGGCCGTGCAGCGTGACAGCAGAGGCAGGGATGGGTCCTGCTACAACCACGTCCACTTCCAGCTTCCCAGACTGTGGTCCTCTGACTTCATTGGCTGATGCTCAGAGCCCAGGGTATATAATACCAAACTACTTTCTGAGAAAGCTGAAATACAAGAAAAGCTGGTATACATGTGTACAATGTATAAGTAGGAGATTGGTACCTGTAGGAGAGCATGGTGCATCGTCACCTCCAGTTCGGCTAAAACATGGGCAGCATCCTCACTGTCCTCTTGGACCTCCAAGTCCTCCTCAGGGATGGTCTCCCAGGTGCCCTGGTGAGCAACCAGGGTGTGGACTAATTCATACTGGCCAGGGAGCGCCAGGCTGACCCGAGTCTGAGTCCCATAGGTGAAGCGGAGGCGCCGAAGCTTACAGCTCTCCTCACTGCCCAGCTTGGTAGTAGGAAGCACCTGCGCCCCCAATAGCAGGTTCAATAGCTGGCACTTGGCATTACAATCCTGGCCGAGGATCAAGATGCAGGGTAGGCAGTCCACAATCTGCTGGAGATACTTCTCTTCCTTAGGTGGGAAGGAAATGCAGCTCAGCTGGCCTGGTTGGGGAAGGGGAGGGTGGAGGAGGAGATAGGAGGACAGAGAGAAGAGTGAGGACGATACAGGGTACAGCCAAGAAGGGGGCCCATCCCCATTCTACAACAAGGAGGGGCAGAGAGACTCACAGAGACCCCATTAGGGTACCAGGGTTCTAGGAGGCTCTCGGTTGAAGGAGGTACCAGGAAAACATCTCTGTCAGAAAAGGCTCCTCAGTATCAGAGAGAACTCCCCTCTGCGGCTCATCCCCAGAGCAGCTGTTTCCACCCAGAAAGGCAGCAGTGACCTGATCTTACCCTCCCCCCTTCCTTTTCTTCCAGGGGAGGGACAGCCGAAGAAGTTTACAAGGACTTAGGCACAACCACAAGATCATTAAATTGACAAAGCCACTGTGAGTCCAAGGAGAAACTATGCCTGAACATGTCAAAATGAAAGTCCTCCTTGTGACGACGGAAGACCTAGTACTTGAACATATTCAGCCTTTTTAAATGTCACTACCATATGGAGTTTTAGCTTGTTATTTTCCTTTCTTATGACACATTTTATAACTAAATGTATGAGTTAATCTCTAAGTACACACACATGGAAATTAAAACTTATTCAAGTTTACATAAGCTCTAGAGTCTTTTCTGGTTCACCTGTCTGATAGCTGGCAACAGCATCCCAGCGGCCAAATTATGTGTTTTCTTAAAAAACTGAGTGCTCAATCAAGATCAGTATCTCCTAATTAAATCACACTTCCTCAGCTTATGGATGACAAGACCCCGGGTGAGACAAAGGGAAAGAACTGCCTGTTAGGATGAAACCCGGCACATCTAGAGAGAGATGTGATCTCTCTCTAAAACATTCTTTCGGGACAACCATGATTCCACAAACAAGGCAAACAGTATTCAAAAAAGAACAAAAGACTTCCTCAAGTATGAAAGCCTCTGTTTGAGAAAGGGAACCAGAAGTTAGTTGACGGATTCTGAACTCAATCACTCCTCCACTCGTTCAGTGCCTGGCCTGCCTCTGTCTAGGATTCGGGCAGCCCTTGGGTTTGTTCAAAAAGGCAGGGACACACGCTCCTTGGCTGAAAGAAGGCCGGTCTTAGATCTTAATTGAAATCTGGGGTGGCCCCAACTGACTAAAGTATTAGTATTCACTTAACCATGAGCTGTATTAAACCACCCATAGGCTGTTTGTTTATTTTGTTCCTATAAATGAAGCAAAAGAGAGCCCAGACTCATTTAAGAGGCTGCTCTACTTTAGACTGTACCTATCCTGCCACAAACTTACTATTTCAAATCCTCAAACCTCCTTCTCTCCCACAAATGCCACCGCCAAAAGGTTCACAGCAGTTTGCTTTCACCCACAGCCCCTCTGCATTTCCTGGAGCCCTGTTTGCAGGTCTGTCTGTAAGCACAGCACGTGGCCTGCACATGCACATCAGCAACGCCAGAACCTGAAACCAGGAAATCTACTCTCCTGGGGAAGAAATTCGGTCCTTTAAAAAAAGCAAAGAGCATTAACTGAGTGCCTAATTTTGTGTTAGGTATTTACTAAGCACAAAACACCAGACCACTGATCTAATTCTGACCTAAAATCAAAAGCAATAGGACAGCATTGGCTGGTGTGGCTCAGTGGACTGACTGCCGAACTGTGAACCAAGGGGTCGCCAGTTCAGTTCCCAGTTGGGGTACGTGCCTGGGTTGAGGGCCAGGGCCCCAGGATGGGGCACATGAGGGGCAGCCATATATTGATATTTCTGTCCCTCTCTCTCTCTTCCTCCCCCTCTCTCTAAAAATAAATTAAATCTTAAAAAAAAAAAAAGCAATAGGATACAGCCAATTTCTTGTGTAACCACTTAGCAAGTAATGGGCTTGTCCTGAGTCCTTTCGTATCATGTTCACAACCACACACTAACCACTCTAGTTATCTGTTTGTAATTACTGAAACACCCAACACAACGACTAAAACGTAGTAAGTACTTTATGTCACACTCCTGTTTACTCTGTGTGAGAATCTGTTTACTGTGGACAACTGTCTATACAGAAAGTTGTAAATGGTTCCGCTAAGGGCTCAGAAAACTCCAGTACCATGATGAACCATTCGGGATCAACTATCATTCCTAAAAACCTTCTTCAGCTCAACATGGAAAACAGACGTGGACAACAGGACTCACCTTGCAGAATTCAACTGCCTCTCGGCCTGAGCAGTGAGAATCCCACTAGATTCATTCTCATCTACCCTTCCTGTCCTTCCTCTTCCCCCATCCTCCTCGCATCCTCAGGTAAGTGATGAGTTCACTTACAAACTGACAAACTTCCTCACTCCTAAACAGAAGTTGGCACATACTAAAAACATAAAACCTAAATGAGTTTTGATGCTGCTCTGGCTAGGAGAGTGGATAACAGATCATGAAAACAAACTAAGCATTTTCCAGAACCAGAGGGAGAGATCTCGATGTCTCTGAGACAATGTCAACTATAGGAAAGCCAGTGAAACATGCTCTGCGTGAGCCAAAAACCACAGCAGACACACCCATTCATCTGACCCAAATTATCACACACCCCCATCTCTGTAGTGACAAAACAGTCGCTACCCATAAACCTGCTCGTGTCAAACAACCATACAGCAGTGCAGCAGGAGAGGGGCTGAACCCAGTCTTCATGGTCGTGTCCATGCACTGCTAGGGTTCTGCGTGCCACCAGCTGCACTGAAGAGAGCCCTTCAATACCTCACTATCCAAGCCCTTTGCCTCTCCCACAACTCTTTAGCTTTTTTTTTTATTGATCTCCAACGCGACTTGAACAAGGGCGTGGAGAAATGAAGGTGAAACTAGATTGCTCCACTCCTTGCTTCTTTCAGCAAAGGGCTCATGGTTGGTTCGGGAGGGAGGAGAGCAGCATCAAAGTGGAAAGAGCACTAGAGAGGAGAGAGGTATTCTGACCCCAGGCCTCACCACTGATTAATCAGCTCTGTGACTTGGGCAATCCACTTGATTTTTCTCAGCCTTGGATTTCTCATCACTGAACGAAGGGAGTTGGATTAGATAATTTTTAACATCCTTTCCAGTTCTAAAGTTCCAGGATTCCATCAGATTTTAACTGTTAAAGGAAAAGTAACTGAGGGGATAGGTGGTTGGTCTGGTTGTTTTTATCTTAGGTTGTGTGTGAATTTAATTACGCAAGCTCTCCCTGGATCTACTGTAACTCAGATCAAAAGGGAGCCTGCACCAGCCAGGGGCTCTGAGGGGCCAGTGCTGTTCGAGCAGTTCTCTAGAGAAGAGATGAGAAACTGGAGACCGGCAAGAGGAGGAAGGAAGAAAACCTGCTTCAGAACTGCAGCAGCTGCCCACTGACAGTTAAAGGACTTCAGAGTTAATCCGGTTTTCTTCTGTAATTAATATAACAGCATCTGCATATGGGCTGCCAGAAGGTAACAGCAGGGCTTCTCAACTGGGGCACATTAACCCTGCCAACTCTGGCTGCAGGAGAAGTCAATTCGAATTGCCTGAAGTACAAGCCAAGGCTTTTTTCCCCTCTCGATGGTTCTTAAATACAGATTATCGTGATTGCATTTAGAGCTGACCTTTGAACAATGTCAGGATTCCGGCTGCAACAACCTGCGCAGTAGAAAACTCTTGTGTAATTTGCCGGCCTTTGGCGTGCATGGAGTCCCACCTGCCAGTTAACCCCTGAACAACGTGGGTTCGAAACGTCAGGTCAATTGACCCATGTGGTTCAACTGAAAAATTCTGCGTGTAAATGGACCCGCACAGTTCAAATACATGTTGTTTGAGGGTCAACTGTACTTTTGAACAAAGGTTTTAAACTACAAGAAGAGTGAGCATCTAAAGTAGTAATCCGTTTTGTTTATGTTTTAGATAATGAAGGGGAGCAAAATACACCACCCCAAAATACACATCAGCATATCAATTATTTTAAGCTGGTTATTTTTAAGAAACAGCAGACACAAAGTAAAGCTCTGAAACCCGACCCGAAGCCACCCTCTGTAAGAACCGCTCAGGAGGGAGATGCCCCTTGTAAGGGTGTCTCCTCAGTGCCACGGCAAAGATGACCCCGAACCTCTAGAAATCTCTTACCAATGCAGAACAACCCTGGTTTACTGTGCTTTTCCTCCTAATCTCCCATAACCAACCCCCAGCAACATCTGTCTTTAGCTGGAGATTATACTTAAAGTGGTACCTTGGGCCATTTCAGAATTATTCAGTTTTCCTGGGTATCTGCCATGTATACAGGAGGTATGCATATTATTAAACTTCTGTTCATTTTTCTCCTGTTAATGTCTTTTTATTATGGGAGTGGAGAGGCTCAGCCAAGAACCTATAAGGATAGAAAAAAAATATTTTCCCTCCCCACAGTAACATTTACTGTGCCTCTGCCTCATGTCATTTAATGTTCACGCTTCTACCACAGGATGGTTACTATTATCCCCGTTTCTAGTTAACGGTAGGAATTTATCGGAAACAGTATCTTAAGGGAAAAAAGCCCACGTTTCTCCATGTATCTAGACAAACAAAAGGTGGAGTACAGGGCGGTGCAGGAGCTCGACGTGGATCTCAGAGGCCAGTGCTGGGGAGGAAACTTCTCCTTCCACACGTCTAGACTTGCTGGCTAGTCTAACAATCAAAGTGACACGCGGCAGATGACCAAGAGTCACTGCATGTGAGTACAGGGCCCATAAGAACGTAAGACCCACAGGCAGTCAGGCACCTGAGACCTGTGTGGTTTACAAGGGCTTAGCTTCTGTCCTTTGGAAGGCAGCATCTCACAACAAAACCTTTAGGAATGATCTAATGATGGTAATGTGTCAAAAGGACACGTGAGCCCTGGCTGGTGTAGCTCAGTGGACTGAGCACGGGCCTGCGAACCAGAGTATCGCGGTTCAATTCCCAGTCAGGGCACATGCCTGGGTTGCAGGCCGGTTCCCAGCAGGGGACACATGAGAGGCAACCATACATTGACGCTTCTCTCCCTCTCTCCTTCCCTTCCCCTCTAAGGATAAATAAATAAAATCTTAAAAAAAAAAAAGGGACACATGAGCCAGCTCCAATGGGGGCTCACTGACCAAAACAAAAGCCATGTAAGGCTAAAAAAATAATGATAAATTTTAATGACAATAAATTACAATCCACTGAAAAATTCTCAAGTGTACACTGACATAAACAAAACAAACAAACAAATAAAAAAAAAAAAACAAGGGAAAAGGAGAGCTCTTCCTTAACACAGACTATCAGCTAAGAAATACAGGAGGAGGCCCTGGCCGGGTAGAGCTCAGTGCTTAGAGCACCGTCCTGATACACTAAGACTGTGAGTTCGATCGCCAGTCAGGGCACACACAAGAAGCAACCAATGATGTGTGAATAAGCAGAAAAACAAAACCAATGTTCTCTCTCTCCCATTCCCCCTTTCTTTCTCTCTCTAAAAACCAACTTAAAAAAAGAAAAGAAATAAATACAGACGGAATGATAAATATAAAAACTATCACTGAAACAGGTGGGAGTTGTCAAGCACACCAAAACCAAGCAGATGCTATATCCGGTGGAATTGCAGGAAAAGGATCATC